TTATTCCTTCAGAAAAGAAACTCCACCAGCTTTTGAGATATAAGTAGTCTTATTATTTAATGCAACATTATTCTGACTTATCACATTGCCTCTTTTTTTTTTTTTTGAAGACAAATTTATCAAATCTGTTGGGCCACATCCAGCAAAACCTGACCTATGGTACTACTGATCGAGCTCTTCTCATCAGACTGACAGTCCCATCTAACTGAATTGGTACATCTGAAAGAAACAACTAACAGTTAAAACATCTACTAATGAAGTTGCACCTTGTCAATCAATACAACTCAGTTGACGTCTTAAAACAGATTATTTCACATTTATTTATATTTGACTACTACCAGATTTCAAAAAAATGCAGCAAAAGGACAGTGGAGTAAAATTAATTATTGCTTAAGATTGAAGAAAATTGGGAATTAACTTGCAGGGGTGCTTTAAAATATATGCTCATTTACAAAACAACAAATAGATTATGCTGTAAGGGGAGTAATTAAAGGATTAATGTGACTGAACTAAGTAACGCAAATGTGTATAAGAGTGTGTTCAGAAATTTTATTACTCATCACAAGACATGCAGCAGAACAGAGTTAGACCATAGGACACTATATTGATACCAGGAAAGTTCACTGATTATTAAGCAAACACCTTTTTGTTTGCCAACTAAAGTACCTTTTTAGAGCAAACTGATCTGGACAGACAATTGTATAATTGTGCAATAGTAAGCATACTGTTAGCGTTACAGAGACAATAATATAGTATTAAAACCACTACCAACAAATGCTGAAATACTACAAAAGTCTTTCTGAAAGAATTAAAACTAGAGATTAGTCAGTCTTTAAAAAAAAAACAAACTGTTATGATGGTCTGATGACAGCAAAAAGAACAAAATAATAAGCACTTTTTCCCCCGATGCCAAGTTTCTTTCCAGAACACATATTAACTATTATAGGTCTCCTGATCATTTGGAAAGTGTTGATACACTACATTATCAAATTCATTACGGTAACTGATATGTCCAATTATAATAAATCTAACATTTTTTAAGAGCAAGAGATGGACTTGTCAGTTGACTGAGGCTCAAATATGAAAACATGAAATAAAAACAGCAAAGCAAGCTTTAACTTACATGGCATTAATTTTTGAATGTCTTTTTTTTTATCAATTTTTATTCTTGAGAGTAAAGTAAAAAAATATATATATATATGTTTGCTACTTAACTTTGTATTTTAGTAATTCAATCAAGATGCATAACCCTGCATGTAATTGTCCTATGTAAGTATTTCCCCAATGAGTCAGATACATAGCACTGTTGGAATGATTTGGCACAGTCAACTAGGTGTCTACTCCTCAGCCAGTCCAGTTCATGGTCAAATCTACGGGTGTAAATCCATCTTTACTGGCATTTTGCCATAATTTGTCAGCCTCAAATGAAGCTGCTGAAGTTTAGACATGGCTTATCTCTGTCATCCTGGCAGACAGAGTTTGAAACAAGGTTATCACAGAGAAGCATTGTGCTCAGTCTACTTTATTCAGCACAGGACATCAACAATCTATTCTTTCAGTTTTCTAATATTAAATTTTCTGGACACTCATGAACTGTTAATGTAATTGAACAAACGTGCAGCATTTCTACAGCTCAGTTCCAGGACAGACTAGATTAGTTTTTCATTTAAAAAAACCCAACACTTAAAAAAAGTTCATGTTTACATAAAACTTAAATATAAAATCCAAAAGTGTTTACATAAATGGGTTCCAATTCTGGCAAGCACAGAAATCCCTGCCATCTGTGGCACCAAATAGCACAAGGGGAAAAAAGAAAAAAAAAAAAAAAACAACCACAAACAGAAAATGGAGCTTGACCAAGTTTTCGTAAAATATTCCATTACTAGTTTTCTCCTCTTTTCCTCTGTTGCCTATTACAGTGTCATCTAAATGTCTAGGAAGGCAGATTTATATTGAAAAATTCTGGTACAGGTAAAAATGTGAGCAATTGTTTCATTATTTTATGATACTCACTCTTACTAACAAGGTTTTTTTCCCCCCTCTTCCTTTCGGCCTTTTATCAACTTTTCTCCACATTTTAACTTCTAGATCAAATGATCCAGGAACTCTAGCAACAGCTTTTATTCATTACATAAGGAAATTTCATTCCCAGGGCACTACCCATCTCATATACCGATTGAGACATGGGCCTCTAAAGAAACATAGTCTTAGGAAATGCATGTATTACAATATATTACTTAAATTTTGAGCATGTGAGACTCCAGACTAAATCTAGTACATTTGATTTCTAATTTCATCAGATACTTCATTAGCATTTCAGATGAAGACTAACTTCGAGAACAAGGAAGAATTTGGAGAACCTAACATAAGTGTTTCTCCCTACAAGATTTGAAGAAATTTGTGGAGGGAAGATGAAAGCAAGAGAAGGAGCTAACCTTCCAAGACAAGAAGCCTGCCATGTCATAAGTCCAGCTATATATTCCTAGGATGCCCAATTAACATCTACTGTATATCAGTTGCAGTATTAATCTATGTTCAAGAAAGAGAAATAATACAAAAGTGAGAAACAAACAAACCCACAAACTCTTGAAGCCTAGAACCATCAAAAATCTAAAGAGCATTTAAGAAGTCAGAAGGTACAATTTAAGTCAATGAAAATTATTTTTCAAAATAATTGAAATGATTCTTCAGGGTATTGGGGTTTTTTTTGGCTGTGGTTTGATTTTGCTTTTCTTTTTTTTTTTTTTAAAGAAATTTATATATTAGTGCATCTTAACTTTACCTTGATTACCAAAACTGATAAATAGAGAGACTATAGAGATTACCACAACTGAGACTAGACAAAAGTAAGACATTTTTTACAATTGGGATGATGAAACAGTGGAACAGGTTGCCCAGAGAGGTGGTAGAAGCCTCATCTCTGGAAATATTCAAGGTTAGGTTGGACGAGGCTCTGAGCAATCTCATCTAGTTGACAATGTCCCTGCTCATTGCAGAAGGGTTGGACTAGATGATAGGTCCCTTCTAACCCACATTATTCTATGATAAAAAAAATGTAGGAACTCTTACTTATGAAAGTATAGATTTAAATGAAAATTTCCACGAGAACTGAATCAAATATAATAATAATTATCACAGCTTCCTCCTAATTCTCACCACCAAAGATGTTAAATTCTGTTTGTCATGGTAGATTTAACCGCTAATCTGTTTCTCTCTTTCTAAAGCTCTGTAATATAAACTAGGGTGAAAACAAACCTAAAACTTAGCATTGTGAAACCTACCTTTATTAAACTATTGATATTTTCTGAATTAAATAAACAAATACTATAAGAAAACAAGTAAAAAGTTCTGACTTTAGACCTTTTGTCTTCTTTGCAAGCAACTGAGTTTCACCTCTCCTAAAACAACAAAATATGTTTTGACTGGATTTTTTTTGTTGAGGGAGTACACTTCTTTTAAAGAATCTCAGAGACCTCTTCAATGACTTTTGAGATAAGTGGTGATAATTTCACTAAATGAAGTATGGTTTTGTCCACTCCTGATAGAGCTGAACTATAAAAAGATCCCTTGTATGTCTAATAAAACCAGAACAAGAAATAAAAAGCAAGATATTTTATTAGCTTTTAGAAATATGAAATTTGCACCAAGAGAAATTGATAATTTGGCTTCAATCGGAAAACTATGCATAAAAACCTTGGAAAATAAATTAAAGTGTTAAAACCGGTGGTGTTCCTCCTCTTTTCTTTTTTCTTGCTCCCAGACTGTAGTTAGAAAACTCCCAAGAACACAGAAACCAGCATTACATTAGATGTACAATGACCATCACTCGTGTTAAAGATGAGTCAAAAAAGAACAGCAACAACTTTCAGCACCACTTCAGAACTAGTTTTGTTTTACAAGTACCTCTACTCTAAGATGACTGCCTATGTCACATCTGTAACTGGCACCAATTCAATGCAGTGAAGTTTCCTGACCAGACCAACATTCTTTAGTTGATTAAGGATAGTGATCACTGCTCTTATATCCCACAGGTTGGAATGGACCTTCCAGATCATCTAGTCCAACCATCAACCTAACGCTGTCAAAAAACATCACCAAATCATATGTCTAAGCACAACGTCTACCTGTCTTTTAAATACTTCCAGGGATGATGATTCCACCACTTCCCTGGGCAGCCTGTTCCAGTGCTGCACAACCTTTTCAGTGTAATTTTTTTTCCTAATTTCTAATCTAAACCTCCCCTGGTGCAACTTGAGGTACTTTCCTCTCATGAGGCTTCTTTTCCTGAAGCCCAGAGATACATCTAAAAGAATTATTTCCTCCCAGGAAAATCCTGCCTTATGAGGCTAACAATGATCGTTTTAGTTTGAAACACTAGGAATGGACAAAAAATAAAATAAAATAAAAATAAATAATCAAAGATTTATACAGATATATGCACCCGGGAAAAGAAATAGCCTTATTCTTTATTTGTCTGGATGGAATCATTAACTACTATGAATTATGAGGTATATAGAAATTATATCCAAACTATATTTCCAAAAAAAAAACCCGTCAACTGCCACATTGAACTAGCAGTAATTTCTCTTCTCTCTTCTAGTCTTCTTTTTTTAATTCAACATAGGAAATATTATAAATGTATCTTCCCACTGGGAATGGAAAAGCAATTACAAGTACTGTTGACAGAACATACTATAAAACATAGGAGGAAGGAGGCAGAATAGAACTACAGTATTTTTTTTTTTTTTGTAAACTACGTAACCTTTTTGAAGAAAGAGAATCCCAAACCATTCCAACAGTAATATTTGAACTATCAGGCCTTCCACATCCATAGATATGTCCACTAGAAGTCAGATTAGAAGGCATCACATGTACTCTTCTCCCAGTCTGGAACTTCTTCACGTTTAGGAAGAAGCAAGTGGTATTTTTTTCTATAATACTATATTAAAACTTTATTTCAGGACAGGAAAAAAAAAACATGATAATAAAACAGAACTCACCACAACTCCAAACTGCTCTGGCTCAGACAAATTATTGTATTCACTCTTGAACTTGGATAATGCATTCAATTGCTCTTGTTCAGGAAGATGTTTTATTAAATTCTGTCAAGAAAAATAAAATAGGGTTAAAAAAAAAATCTCTGATTTTATGTTGCTTGTATTATTGTAGGCAAATGGTATTACACATGCATCATTACCATACACCCCAAAGACAACGCTCCTCCCTGAAGACTGTAGAATTTAAATTGACAACACACAAACTAATATAACTGAGAGTACAAAAAGCAAGTGATTAAATACTGCTACCTAGCATCCTTTGCTGATACTACAAACTTTTCTAGTCTTTTTTTAAACACCATTTTTAAAGAAAGAATCTGCTTGATAGACATTATACAAACAGAACACCAAGAAGCAAATAGAACAGGAAAGGCAGAACAGGAATTTCAAGTGTAACGTATCCAACTAAAGGGCGGCAAGAATTATTAAACTCGACAAAAAGTATTTATTTTCTAATATTTCCAAAAAAACGCTTAAACCCATTAGACACTACTTCGCCTGAAAACCTGCCAGAAGTAGGAATTCATAGGTGGGACTCCACTTCAGCTGAATTCAGGAGTCTACATGGGTAGCTCGGACACTTATGCAAGTGAATGTCTTATGAGTGCAGGTAGGAGAATATAAAGAGGTCACCTTCACCTGATCATCTGAAGAGTCTTCAGACTCCCTGAAGCTACCTGAACACTTAGACACCCATATCTATGTATAGATGCCTATATATAGGCATCTGATTCCCAACCTACAATCAGATAGGTTGGCTAAAAATGGCAATTCTGAGGTTCTTGAAGTAGAGAGCTTCTCAAACATTTAATTATGGTATATAATTTGAGTCAGTAGCTCAGTCCCTTCCCAAGATGACTAATGTAACTAGTAGACAATAGCCAGGGTCCCTCTAGCCTGCTCTTTTTCTCATCTATGGCTCTTGTGTTCCTGGTTATACAACAGCTAAGCTTCTATCTCAGTAAGAAAACAAGAGGGAGATTGTGTTCTTTCTTAAAAAGCTCTCTGGTCTACTGATAAGATCACTCTTCTGAACTGAAATAAAGATTCAATCAGGTCTAGCAATCACAGCTAACCCACCACCTACCACATTTCAAGAAAGGATCCAAAAGACTAACCATTTCCCCATTACTTGATGGAAAAGGCAGACACTTCAGCTATATCAAAGCCAGTTTTATTACTCTGTAAGTAAATAGTTTTGGTGATATACGATCAACAGAAAAGAATTTACTTAAGTTAGTGAACAGCATCTCCATCTGAAAGTCTTAAAAAGAAACCCTACTTTTATCTACAAGAGATCTCAATTTCTTCTTCTACAGAAAATTCAGCCAGTTAGGATATACAAATTATCTCTCTGGGGCCAGAGAGAGAAAAAGCAATAGCTGTGCTTTGCTTAACATACTTCCCTAATTTAAGAAGGAAGAATTTAACTCTAACTAGTACCTCAAAAATATCCCCAAACCGGTAGTCAGCTCAGTTGGTATGTCTTCAGAACCTGTATTAGCTACTTCAAGGCTACCTCATAAAATTCATAACCCACTTAGTTCTTATCTTGATATACATCTGCATAATCACCTTTAAATATACTACAATTCCTTAATCTTTACTGAGGTTAAAATGTTATTGTTTGATGCTAAAATAATTTTCACATGTAGAAAAACTGACCACAAAACTTTTTTGAAAACGAGAAACAGTCAAGCCTTGTATGAATGTTTTCAATATTGAGCATCAGAAAAAAAAAAAACCACAACTGAAGCAGCAGCTGATATCAAAGGAGCTTTATGGTGTTCAGATAAAGCTTTTGAACTGCTAAAGATGAAACACATTTTGAATATCAAGCAGAGAGAAAGCAGGAGAAAGAATTTTCACTAAGTCACAAGAAACATTCCAATAATTAGTCAATGACTATTTGGATTACAACATAAATTGGAGTTTTTACCTCTTTAAGGACTAGATTTCATTTCTAACAGGAGAAATTGTGGCAGGAAGAGGATACGTTTCACTTCTTAAGCATAACAGAACAGCAGAATTAAGGACAAATTTCCAGCTTCAGAAACTGTGACATTAGGATACACTGAACAATATTTAAAGCTAGACAGAAAAAATTGATGAAGGAAAGAAATTTCTAAAAAGGAAAAACATCAAAATATCTTAAGACACCTTACATCAATAAATAAAAACAGCCATTTGCTTGGAAAAACCTATGTATGCTTTTTCTCTTCTCAGAAACGTGAAATACACAGGACTACATTTTCATAGCATGATCCATACTTGTGAAGGTTTTTGAAGGTAGAAATAGAGTTACACACTTAAAGAGTTAAATTTATTAGTAAACTAAGCATATGTTTCTAAAGCAACGAGGCATTTTATTCTACCACTTTCAAAGGAAGATGGGTTACTTAAGTGCTTTTTCAAGTTTAAACTCAGATGGTCCACTTTTCGAAATTATTACAGGGTTTTTTTACCCAGCAACAAGAAACTCAGGTGAAACCATTTGATAGAAGTGATAATATTCAACATTGCAAAGTAAATTTGAAGCCTAAGTTCTACTGAATTTTCCAGTTGATTTAGGCATGTGGGTGCCTAATCACTTTACAAAAAAAAGGCAATCTATACTCTTGCATCATTTATATGCTAAAACTCCCAAGTATATGGGACTTCCCATCTTCCAAGAGTAAGCCTTGTTATATATATTACTGTGTTCATACAGGATACTGGAAGTGTAGTAGAAGGGTGAAGTAAAGTCAGATAATGCTGACTCTCACTCAAATCACAGCAGCTGATAACATCACTGTCCTCTTGTAGGACATTATTTCTCACTTCAGTTTTGGCTCTTCAACTGCCTTTACCCTTTTCTTAAATAAAAATGCTCTGCAAGTGCAGAGAGACTCAAACTTTGCCAAAAGTACTTTAGACTCAATTCTGATGCCAAGAACTATATAGAGAGGTTACTGGATACACTGATGTTCAATATACTCTACTCTTAATACCTATTAAAAGAGCCACAAGATTATCAGTACAGCGTCAGAAAAGTGTATCTTATTATTGTTAACAACATCTACTGCATGAAGAATAAAGTGGGGCTAGGTTGTGTTAGCTGTTTTAAATAAACAGAAAAATAGGCAATTCTTTATACCAAGGTATATGCCATTGAAATGGAAATAATAGTCCACAGAAGATATTGAAAAAAATTCTCAATAGAAGTAAACCTTTTTTTCTTATTGCAACTGATGCAATATTTACCACATGTCCATGTAAAAGTATGCCATTAATTAACTACCTTTAACAGTTTGATGATCTTTGTTCCCAGAGCCTAGATGCAAAAAAATATTTTGCCTTCTTTACATATAGACATTATCAAGATGTCATTTTTTCACAATTTTGATACGTAATATTTATTTAGTATATACAGGATGATTCATGATATTGTTGAGGACCCAATTTCATTAACAAGCTGAATTTTCACTGTTGAAAAACAATGCTAAGGCCAAATAGCACAAGAGTCTCAGAGCAAGCATGGACTGAGACACAGTCCAAGCTGAATTTAAGAGTGCAGCATATTCCGCCTCTCAGCTTTTCATACCATTTTATAGAATTTCTACTATTATTCCAACTAAATAATACTAAAGAAAAATCTCAAATTAGGTATGGAAAATATCAATGCAGAAAATAGATAATATAAACTCAGCTGCTTTCATTAAAAAAACGTTAGCTTTAAAAGTATAAAAAACCCTCTAGACCACAGAAAAAATTATATTTTTGCAGTGATTTATTATCCAAAAGTTTATGTTAAGAGGCTTTTTAGCTACAGGTTTCTACTTAATGAGAAACTTACACTGAAATATTAGGATTTAAAGTGTCATTTTCCTTACCTGAATCATGGACTCTGACAGCTGTGTTTCATCTACTTCCAATATCATCATTTTGATTTCCTCATAAGGCACTCGGAAAGAGCCAAGGAAAATTGCTAAAACAAAGATTCAACACATAATGAAGAAAGCAAGACAACAAGCTTTTTTTTTTTCTTACAGAACACTAGTTAAACAGGCCACACCATCTACAGGTTAACATACACTATGCAAAGTAACATAGATAAGAGATAACAATTTTAAACGTATTTTTAATTACTGTTCCCCTACAATGCCCACCTTCCCCATCCAAATATTATGCACAACACCCAGCATCACAGAATACCACCACAGGCAGCCAGTGATGAGTCTATTCTGCAGGATAATCACTGCCTTTATGAGCATTTTGTGCTGAGGTGACAATTACACTTTTTTCCTCAACGATCTTGTCAGAGGTTTCTCATGAGAAACGAAAACCATACAAACAGTTAAAAACATAAATGCTCTTATAAACACTGTTTATTTTTTCCACTATGATCCAATCATTTCCTATGGAGCAGTCAGACAAGACAGAAATACATTTTTACGGAACATCACTTTGTTATAAAAACAGAATCTACTTACACAGATTCTGTGCAATCTTTGGGTCTAAAACTTTTAATTCTTTGATTCGTTTCTTAATGGATTTCTTCTCTTCAAAATCCTCTTCCTCTTTTTTTACTGCCAAAGTAAACACAAATGCACTCACTGTTAACTCTTAATATTTATAGAAAACATTAATGAATTCAGGAAATATATTTGCTATCAAGTGTGGTCAATTCACAAAGAAAAGAACATATCATAGAACATACACAAAAAAAAAAAAGATTTTGCATTTATTGCTTCTATTCTTAAAATTTTTGCTCTTCAGTCAACTTTGTCAGCATGTTAGCCTCCTAGGAAAAGATTTTTTTTTATAATATGTAGAAACTCAATAAAGATGCTAACGTTAATTGTATGAATGTTTTGAGGTCACGAAAGTCACACTTAAAATACCATACCACATACTTCATTCAGCCTGGGCAAGTTAATATTCTGAATTGGATTTTAACAATAAGAAACCTTAAAAAAGATACCTAAATGTGTCTCAAGATTGAGCAATAAAGAGCCAACCCAAATTTTAAGTATTTTTCTGACCGCTTTTGTCTAAATATATGCACCAAAATTATCAAAGACCACTTGCATATTAAAAAATTATCATTACCTTAGAACATAAATGATTATACAGCTATTTTCCTTATCTCTTCCTAAAAGATGTATTTTTAAATATACGATGTAATCACCTTATTAAAAAATACCACAAAGACAAAGTGATTATATACAAGTACATTAATATTGCTGGAATTTTTGGCTTATTCTTTCTTTTCAAAAAATAATTCATATAAATAGGAACTCCCAAATGCATTATGTAAGCTGAATTTATTTCTCATTATGCACACATTGTCATAAGAATTTCACTTAAAAAAACCAGCATAGGCTTAATAATGTATTAGTAGGAACCATTCCAATTATTATGCAAACAAGCAAAAAAGACAAAAACCACAAATCTTTCCTTAAATCCAATCTGGTTGTGCTTTTTTATGTTCTTTCTTTCTTCCTTCCCTTCCCCCCCCCTCCAAATCTTCACTGTCAAATGTTATTCACTCATTCTATTACAATTGTTTATCTAATTCTCTGTTTCACAAATGAAATTAGTTTCCAAGCCTTTACAGCATGATTGTTCCAAATTAAGTTATACATGCTTCAAATATTTGAGAGTAGAAAACATTTGATATAAAAGTGCGTGCTACTGATTTCAGAAGGGGATGGATACAGATGAGAAGTCTTGTCAAGAAGACATAGGATTAAAATTTCTAACTCACTGATGATTCTTGACAAAAATAGATGCAACATGAATTACCACGTGGATTTCCCTAACTTGAAATTACTTCTGTAAATTTTAAGAGAGATCTCTGTCAAGCCAGATGGGCTCTGAGTAACCTGATCTAGTCGAAGATGTCCCTGCTCATTGCAGTGGGGTTAGACTAGATGACTTTTCAAGGCCCCTTCCAACCCAAACTCTTTTATGATTCTTCATTATTTTTTCTAAGCACAATAAATTTTGCCTAGGATTGGGACACCGGCTAAATGATGTCTTGAGGTCTTCAAGCTTTGTTGCCTAGGATACCACTGAAGAGAAAAGAACTTAAAAGCTTCCACACAGGGACTGAAGGAACTGGATTCTTGTCCCTTCCGAGTCATTGGAGACTTTGAATCACCTGCCAAATCACTTTTAATGCTATACACCTGCTAGGCAGCGTGATGCTTCTCCTGAGGACACGCCACAGTGCAGAACAGAACCTGCTATTCTGAAAAATGAAAATACTGATCTAAGACATAAGCAGTCCTTGGAAGAAGGACCAATATCCAAGGTTCAAGCAAACGGGTTACAAAGCCACAATCCTCCCTGTGTCTTTCTCCCCACCTTACCCACAATAACCAGCTGTCCTTGAATTTCTTTCAGCACAGATTTAACAGAAAAGTTAGCATTCTCCAGCCCAAGGAAAAATAACACACTTCGTTTACTATGCACGTGAAAGCAAAAGAAGTAGGTTTTAACCACCAATGTGAGAACTCAATACCCCATGTTCAAAAGGAACAGAATGACATTTGAGCTACTGGATAAAAAGGAGGTTACCACTAAAGCTTCACTATTTTTATGGTTATGCTTTAAGAAGACCACTTACTGATCCCAGAATGGCATGTCAGGTGCTACGGATCTGAGGATCACGCGACTGTTTTCTCCTGCTCTTACACACCTTAACCCATCTCGAACTTCTTATCAGCTACATGCTGAAAACACTCTTAAAAGATCATTCTGAGTTGCCTATCCTGTCAATGCTAGAATTGCAGATTGCACTAGCAGATGTGGGCATCACTGTAGCACATGTTCCATGCCATCTTCATGAATGAATCATAATGAAATCATAATGAAAATACAGTAATGCTTTATGGCTACCTTGGAATTTTGCAAATCATCATTTTACAGGAAACAGTAATTTCCTTAGCAGTCTCAATAAAAAGAGATAAATTATCTGAATTTATTAATTTACTTAAGCTTGCCCTGACAGCCTTGAAATAGATACTAGTAGGGGCAGAAATAGAAAAAATACAAATGTGTTTGCCTTCTCCAGCACTAGAAAACAATATTTATGCATTACAAGTCTTATAAAACAGTTAATACAGAGGTACACAAACATATATAAAAAAAAAAGAATCAGCAGTTAGACATGCTATTTTAACTCTCAACTTTGAAAATAAGAAACAATGCTGGAAACGAACTGGCTAATTCCCTCTGGAATTTTCACCCAAGGGGTTACACACAATGGCACAGCAATACCTGAGACATCATAATCCTAAGGAAAAACATAGAATATATGTAAGGAAAAACATAGAACATATTTACTCTAGGAGCTCATGCAGGAACTGTACGCAGTTACACCATTATGCAACAAACTAAATCACTGCAAACTTACATGATACTTCTTCAGGAGAATTCAGGTCACATCCTTACGTAGTTGGCAGCAATAAGAAGCAGAGGATACACATTACTTGTCTTCCCTATTGAAAATATTGCACTTTCCAATGAAAACTCTGATACCTCCTACCGCCCCTAGAAATTTTTACCTCGTTTGCTTATTAACTTTTAAGGAAGAAAATAAAAAAAAACCCACCAAAGAGACAAAACCAAAACTATTATCTAACAAAACAAAAAAAAAAAAGGGAAAAAACCCACTAGGGGGGAAAAAAAAAATTAATAGAAAGATCTGAATAGGTGAGGAAATTATCTAGATTAACAGGAAATCAAAGAAAAGCAATTATATTTCTATTTGGGGAGGGCACCGGATGAGGGAGGAATGTATACAGAGGACATAAAATGGTAAACAACTACTTATACTGGAAAAAGAGAAAGCAGCCCAGTGAAAGTGGGCAGCTGCTACAGAAAGGAGGTTACTATCAAGGGAAATGGATGTAAGACATTGTCGTGCTAACATAAATAAAACCAGGGGATCCCAAAATCCACAGAAAGCTTTAATGGCTCCAGAAGTTGGACCATCATATCAAACAATTAACTTTTTCAAAATCACATGCCTTATTTCAGGTATTATACAACTAAAAATGAATGTTACATATCAAGAACCACGCGCCCTTTTAGATGTAGCATATAGACATAACTTATCACACTGGGGCATACACATGGCCCCAGCATCTGAACTGGATAATTTTTAGTCACTCCAACTGTTCTGCCCTCTCAGGCTGGGAAACAAAGTGCTAGAGGACTTTGAAACGCACAGAATTCAACTCTCACCCTTCACAGTTCCTGTTATTTCCACAATCCCACACCTTTATTAACATGACTCCAGAATTAACAGCTGTGGTTGCCAGTGTACAGACGGACAGACAAATAACTCAAAGAAGTTTTACCTATGGCTTTTACTGTCATCTTCAAACACGCTTTCATATACAAATTGAACTGTAGTCAACTACCTCCACATGTGGCGATTATCTGACTGAAATCAGAGTCCTGAAGGGAGCGGTGATAGGACTGTTTTACAAATATAACATCACAGTTGGAAGCCTACAGAATAGCATTTCATAAAAATGTGGATTGAATCCTACGTAGCTACTCCGCAGGTCTCTGAAACAATAACATTCTTGGTAGGTGCCACTGAAATAATCCATACATTCATGAATTGCTATCTGCTATTTCCATTTCTGTCACAGGTCTTGATATCACCTGCTACTCAAAATTTTTGTGTAGGAAAAAATCATGTTTCTGCAGCTGTATGCTAAAGAAAAAAAAAATAATCTTCTAAAATACACCATCCTGCTGAATAAAAAATAAAATACCCTTGAAATACAGGCTTCAGAAGAAATATGCAGATCTGAACATTTATTTTAAAACGTCTGAATTCCTAGCTCAGATGAAACTTGAAAACTACATTACACAGAAATCTACAGAACACTCAATGGAGGTATTTTGTCACTAAGTAACAGAGCGTACAGAAAATTATACAAGACCTTGCACCTTTCCTACCCTCTTAGCAAAGGCAACAGTCACCGTGCAGTCTGTCTTCAATGAAAAATGAAAGAACAAGCCTGGGGTCACGGGCTCAAAGGATGTACCCATACCGAGTCTCGTTATGAAAGTAGATGCCTACCTCATCTGTTTAGAAGTCTAACTCTTAGAAGTAAATGATAACTTGTGCCTGATATAGTAGAATATTCAACTGAAAGAGCTGCATTCTTTAACTCCAATAAGTTTTCTGGAATCAAAGGAATCGATCTTTAATAGAAGTTGAGGTTGTATCTAAATAACAAATGGTGCAAAAGTTCTTCCTTATTCTAAGCAAAAACATGGAATAATTTGCTACAAGTCACAGAATGGTTGAGGTTGGAAAGGATCCTTTGCTCAAACAGGGCCACCTACAGCCAGGTGCCCAGGACTGTGTTCAGGTGGCTCTTGAATATTTCCAAGGGTGGAGGAAGAGTCCACCACCTTTGTGGCAACCTGTGTCAGTGCTCAGTCATCCTCTCAGGAAAAAGAGCATTTCCTGATGTTCAGGAGGAACCTCCTATATTTCAGTTTGCGTCTATTACCTCTAGTCCTGTAACTGGGCACCACTGAAAAGTGCTTGACT